TGTTTATAATGTATTTTTCCCAAAATAAGTATATGAGAACAATACAGTTTGCTCAGCAGCGAATGCAGTATTATAATTAATCACATACGTGATCTTAAATCATCACACGTCATTATTATTTTATACAATATATAATATATAAAACAATATTTCAAGGAAATATATACATTATACACTGATACACGTACCTACCTGTTACTGCGCGTTAAACTTTTGAATTAAACAAAGCCATTCGTATTTTGGAAACAATACAATAATTAATTCTTACCGAGTATATCTCTCTCGTTCGTTTGTTATGTATAGATAAATCGACAGATAAATAAAGTGTAAAACCACATAAACTACTGTATCGTACATTCGTGCTCTTAAAGACGATTATAATTGGTACGTGGAATAAACAAATTTGAATCAAAACACAACTGCTTGGGCTTACATGAGTCCCAATTGGTCTACAAAATGCTACAATTGGTCTACAGGTATTCAAAATGACGAGGTTGCGCATAAAAACATAGTGACCAAATTTATTTTCATAGATCCACAAAAAGATGGAATACAACTCCAAACAAAAGAAATCATTAACCATAAATAATTTTWAAAAAAAATTAACCTATCCTAACTTAATTCATTTTACGAACCACGTAAGTCCCTCCCACCACCCGTTCACGTGAACGAATAAAAATATCATGTTATTAGACAAATATCTAGTGGAAATTTGGTAAACATTTGGCCTACTCGTTTATTGCAAGTTGTGCTCATCGCTAGAAAAAAAAAACTTGAGTAATGTAGGTATGTACCACATAAACCAACGATGCGTGTTTCGGTTGCAGACGCGAGGAGCACGATTTCCGCAAAGGAGTTTTGTCGCAGCGATTCGGAACGCGGATCTTTAAGCAGTCTGGAGGTCGACGTCCGGGCTGCCGAATATTCAACTAGAGACAGCGTCACTTCGTTACACTACCGAAGCCTGCAGAGCCAACCTCCACCGCCACCGGTGCCCATTCAGATTGACACCCCGGTTCGGCCCAAACACCTCCAGTGCAACACCACCGACATACAGCCTACCAGAAAAAGGTTTCACACGGCACCCCGCGAAAAGCATAGAGTAAGTTGACTTAACTCACCTACAGAACCATTTACCGTGGTAAATATATGCATAGGTCGTCCGTTGAAATTCAAATGTATTTTTTTTAATGAATTAAGTTCGTATTTTATTATTGTTTTTTTTTTCGTATCATATCTGTTCAGAAATCGTACCACCGTTTCAGAGATAATTATAATATTATATATCATTCTTCGGTACGAGTATGTAACATTAGGTTTGTTAAAAAAAAAAAGTTAAATATCATTACTATTTGATTGAACATCCACAATATAATATTAATATCCTTATATAGTAGTTAATTCTATGCGTATATAATATATGACAAAGGTCAAAGAAAAACATTGATATTGTATATACCTATTACCTAATCTATAGTCATACCTTCATAATCATTAATATCCATTTGTTATGAAATAATATATAAAGTTATATTTTTCGTAGAAAAAACATCCCCATTCAATAATAATGAAACAATTTATGTTTAGTAATAGATGCCTGCCTATTATATTATCAAAATAACGGATTAAAATCAAACAATAAATTATAAAACGATAAAAAGGTATTTGATGATGGAATGAAAATT